TTTTTTCACACGCAAACATTTAATTGGCCTGCTGTCTCGACGGGCCGTCAGCGCTGAGTGTGTAGTCCGCCTTTTGCAATCACGACTGCTCAGAGGGCAAAAAGCTCTTCCCTGACCGGAATCGAACCAGGCCGCGGCGGTGAGAGCAGCCGAATCCTGACACAGGAAAGGGTTGCTCCACTCTTTTCCATTCAAGCCTGGGTGTGTGCCTCTACCACATTTTGCAGCAACTGCTCAAGCAGGGCCACTAACACTTGAATTTTCCTCCAGGAGAGGAGATGTCTCTGACCCTGGATAACAGATCTTCCACTGAGAAAGTGCCACAGGATCTGTGGGAATATCCTAACAACACCACAACTTGCCATAAAAACAAAGCAACCGAGATCCCCAACATGTGACGCCTCCATCTCGAAGCTTTTTATAGCAGACCTCTCAATGGACCCCTTCCTGACGTTGGCTCCTGGCCTGTTAATGGCATGAGACAAAGGTGGTGGGCCAGTGGCGCAAAGGATAACGCGTCTGACTACGGATCAGAAGATTCTAGGTTCGACTCCTGGCTGGCTCGCTCACCCTCTTTTGCAGTCCAACAATAGGCTGCTTTTCAGTGGTAACGGTTACCATGAAATACCATGCGTCTTTTTCAGATGCATTGCATGGGTACTGTCACAAGGACCTTGCTTTGCGACCAGTTTATAGTGTCTCTAATGCCAGCACTGGACTGGGAGGACACTGGATTCGGCGCTCTCACCGCCGCGGCCCGGGTTCGATTCCCGGTCAGGGAATGAGCTTTTGCCCTCTTGTAGCAGTCGTGATTGCAAAAAGGCAGACTACACACTCAAGCGCTGACGGCCTCGTCGAGAAGCATGGCCAATTAAATGTTTGCGTGTGAAAAAGACCTCCTTCGAGGCGGAGTCGAACCAGCGACCTAAGGATTCCCAATTTGCCACCTACAGTCCTCCGCTCTACCAGCTGAGCTATCGAAGGCACACCGGTTGCGGACAGAACCTAAACCTATCAGGTTTCGTGAGCTCCGCCTGCTGGCTAAAAGTGCTAGAGGCACAGAGACGCGTCCTGTCCGTTTCCATAAGTGAAGCAAAGACAACACAAACTTCCCATACCGGGAGTCGAACCCGGGCCGCCTGGTGAAAACCAGGAATCCTGACGCTAGACCATATGGGAACTTCCTCGTGCCACTAGCAGGCCCTTTGGCTTTTAGTGTGCGACCACCCCCTTCTTTAAGAATATGGGAATGAGCCGAAGGAATTGTTTACTGAATTCGATTTCATCAGGCTCATCGGAGGGAGCTCTCATTTGCCTCGCCCAGGGGGTCAGTGTCCTCCCAGTCCTGTGCTGGCATAAGAGACACTATAAACTGGTCGCAAAGCAAGGTCCTTGTGACAGTACCCATGCAATGCATCTGAAAAGACGCATGGTATTTCATGGTAACCGTTATCCACTGACAAAGCAGCCTATTGTTGGACTGTCAAAAAGGGTGAGCGAGCCAGCCAGGAGTCGAACCTAGAATCTTCTGATCCGTAGTCAGACGCGTTATCCATTGCGCCACTGACCCACCACCTTTATCTCATGCCATTAACAGGCCTGGAGCCAACGTCAGGAAGGGGTCCAATGAGGGGTCTGCTATTAAAAGCTTCGAGATGGAGGCGTCACATGTTGGGGATCTCGGTTGCTTTGTTTTTATGGCAAGTTGTGGTGTTGTTAGGATATTCCCACAGATCCTGTGGCACTTTCTCAGTGGAAGATCTGTTATCCAGGGTCAGAGACATCTCCTCTCCTGGAGGAAAATTCAAGTGTTAGTGGCCCTGCTTGAGCAGTTGCTGCAAAATGTGGTAGAGGCACACAGTCAGGCTTGATGGGAAAGAGTGAGCAAACCAGGACCTGAGCTGCCTGGGTGAAAACCAGGAATCCTGACCACTTTTTTTTTTAGAGACTATTTCAGGCATTTTGAGGAAAAAAAGAGACAATTTAGCATTTTTGAAACATTTCATTGACTCTTTTTTTTTTTTTTTTTTTTTTAACAATAATGCTTACAGCACCTGGTATTCCCAGGCGGTCTCCAATCCAAGCACTAACCAGGCCCTACCCTGCTTAAATCCTGACCGCTAGACCATATGGGAACTTCCTCGTGCCTCGAGCAGGCCATTTGGCTTTTAGTGTGCGACCACCCCCTTCCTTAAGAATATGGGAATGAGCTGAAGAGATTGTTTACTGAATTTGATTTCATCAGGCTCATTGGAGGGAGCTCTCATTTGCCTCGCCCATGGGGTTCAGTGTCCTCCCAGTCCTGTGCTGGCATAAGAGACACTATAAACTGGTCGCAAAGCAAGGTCCTTGTGACAGTACCCATACAATGCATCTGAAAAGACGCATGGTATTTCATGGAAACCGTTATCCCACTGACAAAGCAGCCTATTGTTGGACTGTCAATTTAAAATATTATTCAACTAATCCAATAATAATAATAATAACAAAAATGATGGGCTAATAAAAGGAAATGATAAAGTGGCTATGGGCTGGCAGCGAAGCAAAACAGGGTGTGCGAGCCAGCCAGGAGTCGAACCTAGAATCTTCTGATCCGTAGTCAGACGCGTTATCCATTGCGTCACTGGCCCACCAACGAGTGGGTGGGTGGCTTGTCGGTGTCTGACTGTTCAGAGGCCTGACATAACACCTACTTTATCTCATGCCATTAACAGGCCTGGAGCCAACGTCTGGAAGGGGTCCAATGAGGGGTCTGCTATAAAAAGCTTTGAGATGGAGGCGTCACATGTTGGGGATCTCGGTTGCTTTGTTTTTATGGCAAGTTGTGGTGTTGTTAGGATATTCCCACAGATCCTGTGGCACTTTCTCAGTGGAAGATCTGTTATCCAGGGTCAGAGACATCTCCTCTCCTGGAGGAAAATTCAAGTGTTAGTGGCCCTGCTTGAGCAGTTGCTGCAAAATGTGGTAGAGGCACACAGCCAGGCTTGATGGGAAAGAGTGAGCAACCCTTCCCTGGTGGTCTAGTGGTTAGGATTCGGCGCTCTCACCGCCGCGGCCCGGGTTCGATTCCCGGTCAGGGAATGAGCTTTTGCCCTCTTGTAGCAGTCGTGATTGCAAAAAGGCGGACTACACACTCAAGCGCTGACGGCCTCGTCGAGAAGCATGGCCAATTAAATGTTTGCGTGTGAAAAAGACCTCCTTCGAGCCGGAGTCGAACCAGCGACCTAAGGATTCCCAATTTGCCACCTACAGTCCTCCGCTCTACCAGCTGAGCTATCGAAGGCACACCGGCTGCGGACAGAACCTAAACCTATCAGGTTTCGTGAGCTGCGCCTGCTGGCTAAAAGTGCTAGAGGCACAGAGACACGTCCTGTCTGTTTCCATAAGTGAAGCAAAGACAACACAAACTTCCCATACCGGGAGTCGAACCCGGGCCGCCTGGGTGAAAACCAGGAATCCTGACCGCTAGACCATATGGGAACTTCCTCGTGCCACTAGCAGGCCCTTTGGCTTTTAGTGTGCGACCACCCCCTTCTTTAAGAATATGGGAATGAGCCGAAGGAATTGTTTACTGAATTCGATTTCATCAGGCTCATCGGAGGGAGCTCTCATTTGCCTCGCCCAGGGGGTTCAGTGTCCTCCCAGTCCTGTGCTGGCATAAGAGACACTATAAACTGGTCGCAAAGCAAGGTCCTTGTGACAGTACCCATGCAATGCATCTGAAAAGACGCATGGTATTTCATGGTAACCGTTATCCCACTGACAAAGCAGCCTATTGTTGGACTGTCAAAAGAGGGTGAGCGAGCCAGCCAGGAGTCGAACCTAGAATCTTCTGATCCGTAGTCAGACGCGTTATCCTTTGCGCCACTGGCCCACCACCTTTATCTCATGCCATTAACAGGCCTGGAGCCAACGTCTGGAAGGGGTCCAATGAGGGGTCTGCTATAAAAAGCTTTGAGATGGAGGCGTCACATGTTGGGGATCTCGGTTGCTTTGTTTTTATGGCAAGTTGTGGTGTTGTTAGGATATTCCCACAGATCCTGTGGCACTTTCTCAGTGGAAGATCTGTTATCCAGGGTCAGAGACATCTCCTCTCCTGGAGGAAAATTCAAGTGTTAGTGGCCCTGCTTGAGCAGTTGCTGCAAAATGTGGTAGAGGCACACAGCCAGGCTTGATGGGAAAGAGTGAGCAACCCTTCCCTGGTGGTCTAGTGGTTAGGATTCGGCGCTCTCACCGCCGCGGCCCGGGTTCGATTCCCGGTCAGGGAATGAGCTTTTGCCCTCTTGTAGCAGTCGTGATTGCAAAAAGGCGGACTACACACTCAAGCGCTGACGGCCTCGTCGAGAAGCATGGCCAATTAAATGTTTGCGTGTGAAAAAGACCTCCTTCGAGCCGGAGTCGAACCAGCGACCTAAGGATTCCCAATTTGCCACCTACAGTCCTCCGCTCTACCAGCTCCGCTAAAGCTGGGGAACAATAGTCTGTATGAGGAAGGGAAGAGGGAAAAAGAAGGGGAAGAAGAGGGAAAAGGAAAAAGAGAGAAAAGAGAAGGAAAAAAGAGAAAAAAATGAAAGGAAAGGGAAAAGGTAAATCCACCTTTGACCCGTCTGTTTGATTTTTGGTAGATTGCTATTCATATTTTTTAGAAAATTGCCTTTTTATATGTTTCATTGATAAATCACTGACGTGAACGACGTCGGTTCGAATCCCACCTCTGACAAGGTTAAAATCACCCAATATCTTTTCTAATCGTTTCTTAATGAATGAACATAAATGTATAAATGTCATGTGCTTTTATGCCTTAACACTTATTTTATAAAAACTTATTTCTCATTGTATGGATACATGTTTATATTTATTTATTACCCATATGAATATGGAGTTCCTTCAAATGTACTATATTAGATGTAGGTCTATAATAATAATAATAATAATAATAAATAGTTAAGGTGGATTTTTGCAAAATCAGTGTTTTGACTCAGGCTCGCAGAATGATTAATGATAAAAAGTTATTACTGTATTCATATGTGTTATTTGTATGTATGTAATTTACATATTTGCTTGAGAAAAGTACCCAATTCATTAATACAATCTAATTTAAAATGAAATAAAATAGAATTGAAAGAACTGCAACAATGTAATTGTCTTCTCTGAGTGAATGTTGGCAATAAATAAAGGATTGCTGTTTTAATATATTAAACATTTATTGCAAAATATTCATCTTAATTATCTCTTTCTCTCTCACACACAGTAAGCATGGCACATATAAAAAAGAATTGAACAATTAAATATAAAATACAAATATAAAATAAATAAATAAACCAAATAAAAAAAGTAATAAAGGAAGAAGATTTCTGGTCAACTGGTAACAAAAATATATAAAAGACAAAATCAGGCTCACACCAAAAAACTGTAATATACAGTGTTTTTTCTGTTATGTTAATTATTTTGAAATGCCAGACCAGACCTATATGGGATGAATATTGAACAGTTTATTTCTTATTTGCCCTCTTCCTCCGCATCTCCTCCATCCACTGGTGAAGTGAAATACCAGCATTTTGGGGAAAGTATATGTACCCATAATACTGGCTGTGGCCACGACAACAGTCTGGCCACTGGGCAGGGGGATGATGGTACTGGCCTGCTGGGAGTTAAGTGTTTGTCCAGTTTCATTCCTCAGTCCGACCAAGTACTCTGCCAGGCTGTCCACTCTGTCCATCCCTGAGATACTGCGCTCATCCTCAGCCTGTTAAATATATGAATATATAAAAATAAAATAACAACAATATCACAGGCAGAAAAATATTACATCTTTCACACTGTTTACATGTCACAAAGGACCTACCAGTTCTTGCTGTGGTGCTGCTGGAGTCATGGCAGGTGTCCCAGAGGGACTTGTAGTTGTAGCAGTGGGAAGAGAGGCTAGGACGATCAGAAAGTACGGAGGAGCAGAAGCTAGGCTGGTGGGCACAGCTGTTGGGGCAGAGGGTGCAGTGGTGTCCTCATTGGAAAACTGTTAAATGTAATAATAATAATAATATATTATTATTACATTTATTGTTATTATTACACTGCATATATTTGAATATGCTAAAAATGTAAATATAAGTATCAGTAAATACTCATTACTTACTGATGCCATAGTAAAAGTTGTGGTGAGAGGTGAGAGCAGGTGTTGCCATCTACCCAGGTGTTGCCATTGCCCAGATGTTGCCATCTTCCCTGGTGTAGCAGCAGATGATGTAGATAAGGGACCAGGTGTCATTGAAAAAGGACACTGACCTGTAAGGCTACAGGTTAAAGGAAAAAAAAATTAAATGTAATAATAGAGACAACAACATCAACACTACATAATTTTAGGACAATATTGAGGCTATACCTTTGTATATGAATTCCACAAATATATGTCTGTGTCCCTCTAAACAAAGGCATTTGTCCCCTAAAATGCACGGGACATTTTTCAAACTGTAATATTGTTTGGCAGTGAATCATATGTGACCCCTTTCAATGTGACATAGCTTTATGTTTTATGATTGTACACAACACTTTATCTAAATTTATCTTCAGATACAGGTCAAGCCACTTTCACTGGCGGGGTGACGGCCTGTTTCCTGCCTCAGAAGACCAGACCCCTAAAACAGAAAACCTTATGAAGGTTTAACCTTATAAAACCATAAAAGCTTATAGCCCTGTGCTTTTTGCATTTGGATGCCATCTTCTTCCATTAGAGTAAATAAAATTCTAACTATTCACTTTAAATTTGTAACTCTTCAGCACATTGTGGGTAGTTTTAACTCACTACTATAATAGTCCTGTATGTAGATGGCATTAGATAGTAGGCTGTATTATATATGAATACACAGTACCTCAGTGTATAATATATTAATGCATAGTACCTCAGTGTTTATTGATACATAGTAGTAGCAGATATAAAAGTAATTTAGTACAATCATAATAAGATTATTATCAGTTGGTAAACACAGTCTGAACACAACACAAAACTCATTAATTCAAACACAATATCAGGTGTTGTACCCACGTTATACCAATTATAACAATGTAAATTAAACCCATTAATTTCTCTCTGTCATTCATTCATTCATTCATTCATTCATTCATTCATTCATTCATTCATTCTTAGCTAAGATAGTTAGGAGACTAAACAAAGCAACAACGTCGACGTCTCTTAACGTTACCTAACACAATGTAAACTTAAAATCTTACCTCGATGTCACTGTCAACTTCTTAAATAAAACAATGTAAAAGTTTATTTAAAAAACTATGAATTAAAGCTAGTTAATTAACTAGTAATCTTACCTATGGACTTATACGGACTTCACGCGGCTTTTTCAAAAATAAATATGACGGACTTCGCGTGGCTTTTACCAAAATAACTGATGAAAAAAGTGAAAAATATGATTTATAGGAGGTGGACTTACTGCGCATGATCCGGCAATGATGGAAAGGGGCCACGGTGATTGGCTGTCGTAAAATGGAGAAAATGGAAATGCTGCGATCTGATGGGCTGTCCAAAAAATGTGAAAGATGGACATGCAGAGACGTGATTGGTCGAAGCAGACAGACGAACGTTCCCAGGCACCGCTATCGAAGGCACACCGGTTGCGGACAGAACCTAAACCTATCAGGTTTCGTGAGCTGCGCCTGCTGGCTAAAAGTGCTAGAGGCACAGAGACACGTCCTGTCCGTTTCCATAAGTGAAGCAAAGACAACACAAACTTCCCATACCGGGAGTCGAACCCGGGCCGCCTGGGTGAAAACCAGGAATCCTGACCGCTAGACCATATGGGAACTTCCTCGTGCCACTAGCAGGCCCTTTGGCTTTTAGTGTGCGACCACCCCCTTCTTTAAGAATATGGGAATGAGCCGAAGGAATTGTTTACTGAATTCGATTTCATCAGGCTCATCGGAGGGAGCTCTCATTTGCCTCGCCCAGGGGTTCAGTGTCCTCCCAGTCCTGTGCTGGCATAAGAGACACTATAAACTGGTCGCAAAGCAAGGTCCTTGTGACAGTACCCATGCAATGCATCTGAAAAGACGCATGGTATTTCATGGTAACCGTTATCCCACTGACAAAGCAGCCTATTGTTGGACTGTCAAAAAGGGTGAGCGAGCCAGCCAGGAGTCGAACCTAGAATCTTCTGATCCGTAGTCAGACGCGTTATCCATTGCGCCAAGGACGGCGCGCATACGTCTATCAACGCTATCACGAGTTGACCGAAATTGACCCAAAGATCGCAGGATCGAATCCCGCTCGTCCAAACTTTTACGACTAATGTTAATTATTAGGATAAATGTTATTTAACTGCACATTTAAGTCCAGATAATTCTGTCATGTGTAGAAATTAACATTTGTATATAATAATACAGTAAAAAATAAAAATAGAGGAAGAAGATGAAGAAGAAAAGAACAAAAACGTCCAAACCCATTATATTTTTTATATAATCCCAACAATTATTAAAACAGGTAATATTAATAATAATAGTAGTAATAACAATACGCTACATAAATAACTTAAGGCATAACTAAACATAAATAAACTGAAATAAATGCTTCTCATCTATTATTATTTAATAGTAATAATGAAATTAATGATAATTAGGTAAATAAATAACTTAAATGATTCTCATCTATTATTATTATTTAATAGTAATAATGATATTAATGATAATCAGGTACATACATTACTCAAGGCTTAAGTTAACTTAATAAAATAACTAAAATAAACTGCAACCACCTGTTGCCCATAAATTATGTGTATATAATTTTACTGTAGTTGTTGTAGTAGTCAATAACAATAATGAAAAGAGGAAGTAGATGAATAAGAAAAAACACAGAAACATCCAAACCCATAAAATTTTTTTAATATAATCACATTCCGGTACATAAATAACTTAAGGCATAGCTGAACATAAATAAACTAAAAAAAAAAAAAAGGCTTCTCATCTATTATTATTATTAAAAATATATATAATAAAAAATAATAATAATAATAATGATATTAATGATAATCAGGTACATAAATAACTTAAGGCATAAGTTAACGTAACAAAATAACTAAAATAAACCACCTGTTGCCCTGACGACAGCTACTAACAGGATAGTTTCTATCCCTGGGCCAAGTATTTTACTTAACTCCAATAAGAATTAAATTACCTGATACAGTATACCTGTCTTTCACTCCTATTCTAAAAACTGTACACAAATGTAATCGAATAAAGTAAAATGAAAAAGTAAAGTTTTATTCATTTTACTTTTGAAAAGTAAAATGAATAAAACTCAAATAAAGGTACAAACACAACACCCATTATCCCCATCCTACTCACACATGCATGCGTGCAACACACACAAACACACACAAACACACACCAACCATGTTTAATAATGATTCAAAGGAATCATACACATAGTTTTAAAACATTTTAAAGATAGCTGCCATTTCAATTTTAAGAAGCTGGAGGGTTGTCACTTCCTGGCTTTTTTTTCCTATAACCTCGTTCCATCAGCACAGCCCTCCATTCATCATATGATTGAGTCTCAGACTCTTCGCAGTACCAGTTCCCAAAGTACTGGAGATGTGTTGGTGGCTTTCTCTCCTTATTGCACTTTTTGCAAAGAATGACGTCTGTCTTTCTCACATACTTTCTTGTCACTGTTCCAGCGCTCTCCCTCTTCTGTTTTCTCTTCCTATATTGCTGTGTGGAGTAAGGAACCGATTGACTGGATGTCTGTGTTTGAGCTGATGGTGTCATAGCTGAAGGTAAGAAGAACATCACCTGTGAGGTACCAGGCACTGTAGGAGGCTGCACAGGTGGTAAAATGAAAGGGAGAGAGACAGGTGGTGCTGGTGCAATAGGGACAGGAAGTCCTTGGTGTGATGGTGGAGCCTGGAAGATGGCCTGAGGTTGCTGAGGTTGCGACCTCCCTTTGAGTTTAGCCTCCCAGCAGTATTTGGTGGCAGGATAAAAATGTGTGGCTCTGACAAATTGCCGGAACAGAGAGTCGGTCTTTTCTGCAAAGCAGCAGGAAGGTTCTCAGGTCCTGCCATGGGTGCTTCAGGGGCTTGGATACCCTGTTTCAATATCTCCTGCTCCTGTGACTTACAACGCCTGCTGTACCTGGGAAAACATAAAGCAACCAATTATAATAAACATCTAAGCAATTATACAAAAGATGGTATGTTCAACTACTGTTTGATCATGACTATGATGTAACAGCAAGACACAGCTAAGATCACAGAGCAATTGATCACACCCTTGTCTCGTGTATCATTGCTTTAGTAAAATGCCGCTGGTACGGTAGCTGTTTGTTTGTTTGTTCGTTTGAGAGATGCAGTGAGAGGTGCAGTGAGACGTGTAGTGAAAGATGCAGTGAGACGTGCAGTGAGAGGCGCAGTGAGACGTGCAGTGAGAGGTGCAGTGAAAGATGCAGTGAGACGTGCAGTGAGAGGCGCAGTGAGACGTGCAGTGAGAGATGCAGTGAGAGGTGCAGTGAGACGTGCAGTGAGAGGTGCAGTGAGACGTGCAGTGAGAGGTGCAGTGAGAGGTGCAGTGAGAGGTGCAGTGAGAGGTGCAGTGAGAGGTGCAGTGAGACGTGCAGTGAGAGGTGCAGTGAGAGGTGCAGTGAGAGGTGCAGTGAGACGTGGATGAGAGGTGCAGTGAGAGGTGCAGTGAGAGGTGCAGTGAGACGTGCAGTGAGAGATGCAGTGAGAGGTGCAGTGAAAGATGCAGTGAGAGGTGCAGTGAGAGGTGCAGTGAGACGTGCAGTGAGAGATGCAGTGAGAGGTGCAGGTGCAGAGAGAAGTGAAAAAACTGATTTGCTGATCAATTTATGCTTAGAACAATGCTAATTTACTCACCATTGTGTCACTGTTGCACTGTTTACTTCCGGGAGCTGGATGGTGGTCTCGCTCATCACCTTAGCATTAGAGAGGATGCACTCTCGGATGTGCTTGTAAGCACGCACCACCATTGTGAAGCGGGACACCCTCACTCCATCACACCGCACCACGTTTGGATAGAGGGCACAGAGCCTTGTGAAGATGGCCTCCACCACTCGGTTGCAGCTAGGCCACTGTGCAGGACTATGAGCCCCAACGAAACACCTGCAAATTACAGCAGAATACATATTCGTTTCAATGTGTGATCCTTACTCTGTTATTTTTCTTGCTTTTTTCCCTCCTTTTCTAATCTGTCTGTTTTGCTTTGTGTTGTCTACGATGTTCATTTTTTCCTGTGTTTGCTAAATTTAACATACCTTTTGGTGCTCTCCACACTGGTGCCACAATCTTCTTTGTGGCTCTGAATCGTCCCTGTTTTAAGGAGGTTTGGTGACGTGGTGGATAAATTGTCTTCCTCTTGTCATACTCCACCAATGCTTGCCATAGGGTGATGATCTTGGCGCACTCTTCACCAGTCAAGGCCAGACGGTGGTCTCTGAGGCTAACCAAGAACTCAGCCAAGTCCTGCACGGCTCCATACCCCCAATATTATCTGGTCCAACAGAATCCTAAAATAAAAGATAATTTAGGAACTTTTGATAGCAGCAATGAATACAAATATTCACATGAAAGCACAGCAAACATAACTAAGATTTTGTTTACAGACGTAAATGTACACTGGGCCCTTACATCATGTGAAGTGTTCTCTTCAGATGTCAGATGTTCAGAAGTTTCTGCTGATGACTGGTCCACTGGAAATACATGAAAAGGCAAACATTCAGTTTAAATTTGTATTTTTTGCCTTTCAATAAGACATACATACATAGAGGTGCTGGTAATTGTTGTCACAATAACTCTATATAGATACTTTGGTAAACTCACAGCTATGTGCTCCAGGAAAGAGTCCTGGCTTTAAATGACTGTGCAGTGGGCTAGTGACAGGAGACGGAGGGACCACAGACAATGGTGAAATGGAGCAGGTGACAGATGTGGATGGTGATGGAGGAACCGCAGACAATGGTGAAATGGAGCTGGTGACAGGAGGGGTTGGTGATGGAGGAACCACAGACAATGGTGAAATGGAGCAGGTGACAGATGTGGATGGTGATGGAGGAACGGACAATGGTGAAATGGAGCTGGTGACAGGAGGGGTTGGTGATGGAGGAAACAGACAATGGTGAAATGGAGCTGGTGACAGGAGGGGTTGGAGATGGATGCTGCAGACCACTGATGCTTGTGAAGAGGCAACCAGGTGTCCGTTCTGTGTCAAGGGTAGGGACAGTGATGTCCTGAAACTCCTCAAGTTCAGCATAACCTTCATCCACTTCTATACCAACCTCAGTGGTCTCGGACTCTTCAATGGCCAACTTGTAGTCTTGCAGAACTTTACCAGTTTGCTGGTAAAGATATTCCACTCCAATAAGCTCACCTTTAAAATATTAAACATTAAAAATTAGATAGTATACCAGGATATTATATTATAATTCAGAGGTTAAATGGTATGTGTACACTTAAAAAAATGTCACCAAAAATAACAAATAGTTAGCTACCAGTGTACTTTCTTGGCCCAACATAAGGGATGATTTTCTTGCCCATAACCTCCTCTGCAAGAGTGTTGACAGCATGACGCAGAAGATGATTGTAGGAATGGGGCTGCTGCTCATCCGTTGTTGCTGCCACAGCCCGGTCCTCATTCACCTTGCAAGTCCATCCAAAAGATATGCCTGGAAGAAGGTGTCACTCGCCAGCGTACCTGTAAATTAAAAAAAAAAAAAAATAAGACCACACAAAAATGTCATATGGATACACAAATAACTGTTCCTATAGTTATTTTAATATATAATTAATTAAAATCTTATTTTAATAATTCAGTTAAGTCACTTATTTACCTGGGATGAATCTGTTAAGGTGCAGGTGAAATGACTCAAGCGAAGTGGAGCCTCTGGCACAGCGGTAGGTTGGCAGACGGTGCCCTCCCTTCACTACAGTGCCCGTCTGCACGTAGAGCTGCACACCTACAGGATCCTGGATGCAGGCCACATGCTTCCGCTGGGACTTCAAGATCTCTCTCATCCGGGCTGAGTTTATTAGTGGGACTCCCATAGTGTCACGACCAGCATCTCCATCAAAGGCCTGAATAAGGCTTTCAATCAGCGCCAGGGTCTCCTTGGTCCCGCGAGTGGTTCTCCTGCAATGTAGGGCTAGCTCGTTACGGCTGATACTGCGCAACACATCAGCCTCGGATGTAGGTTTCCAGTTAGCCTCTAGCTCTGCATGCTTTGCCTTCTTCAGGGCCGCCAGGTCAACCTGGTCCCACATGAAAATACAGTGGCTGAGGCGACTCATAAATGTGGCATACAACTGATGAGAGTCAGTGGTGCAACCCACAGCAAACCTCCTCATGAAGTGCCATACATCTAAACGGATGATCATTCGCTCCCACTCTTCAAACATTCTCCTCAGAGTGTTGCCACAGCAGTCTCGGTCGACATACAGTATCGGGAGGAGCCACCCCAGCCACTCTGTATCGCTTGATGAGGCCTTCAATCATTGGCCCGAGACCAAAACCTTCACTGGCTGTGAGCACGGACATGATCACCTGTCCGTGCTCATTGCCAACATTGGTCGCCCAGGTAGCAGTGCCATAGCTCCGTCCCGCTAGTTTTCTGGCCACTTTTTTTGTTGAATCCATTTTTAAGATCCGACCATATTGAGATGTGATAGTGGCTTTGATCTCATCCAGCCTTTGCAGGACATCCTGGGCGTACACCTGCATCAACCACCGGTGCTTAGGGACAGAAGGCATCGAAGGAGCAGATTCAAATGTCACAGGCAGGATCAGGCTCGAAGTGACAGCACTGGCAATCCCCTTGCAATCTGTCAGATACTGGACTGTCTTTTGCAACCACACCTCAGTATGACGTTCCTGCAGCTTGCGCTGGATCTGTGCTGCTGTTTCCCAGCCCTCGCTGACGCATCATCAACATACTACCTCCATGTCACATGCAAGTTTTGATGTAAGAATGCAAGGGAACTGCACCCTGTGGCAATGTCGAGCTGGGAGACGATATCATGGCTCCAGCTGATGACCTTCCTCTTGCATCTTCGGCAGGCCAGGTACTACAGATGCCACAAAGTATGTCTTACCCAAGGCAATCNTCGGATTTGAACCGAGGACCTCTTGATCTGCAGTCAAATGCTCTACCACTGAGCTAACCCCCTTTCACAAAGCTTTTTTGCAAATTAGAAAAAAATATCTGGAATTTTCTTAAATTTTCTGTATAAGGTTAAAGAACTGAAATAATTGGCTTGTACGAACTAGCATAACAACAAAGATAACATGCAGATTGGGACATGCTAAAGGGGGCACTCGGATTTGAACGAGGACCTCTTGATCTGCAGTCAAATGCTCTACCACTGAGCTATACCCCCTTTCAAAAAAATTTTTCAAATAAGAAAAACAAATTCTAGAATTTTCTTAAATTCGTCTGTATAAGGTTAAAGAATTAAGTAATTGGCTTGTACGAAACTAGCATAACACCAAAGATAACATGCAGATTGGACATGCTAAAGGGGGCACACGGATTTGAACCGAGGACCTCTTGATCTGCAGTCAAATGCTCTACCACTGAGCTATACCCCCTTTCGAAAAGCTTTTTTCAAATAAGAAAAAAAATTCTGTAATTTTCTTAAATTCGTGCTGTATAAGCTTAAAGAATTAGGTAATTGGCTTTACGAAACTATAAGACCAAAGATAACATGCAGATTGGGGCATGCTAAAGGGGCACTCGGATTTGAACCAAGGACCTCTTGATCTGCAGTCAAATGCTCTACCACTGAGCTATACCCCCTTTCTAAAGATTTTTTCAAATAAGAAAAAATATCTGGAATTTTCTTAAATTCGTCTGTATAAGGTTAAAGAATGAAGTAATTGGCTAGTTGGAAACTAGCATAACACCAAAGATAACGTGCAGATTGGGACATGCTAAAGGGGGCACTCGGATTTGAACCGAGGACCTCTTGATCTGCAGTCAAATGCTCTACCACTGAGCTATACCCCTTTCGAAAGCTTTTTTCAAATAAGAAAAACAATTCTGGAATTTTCTTAAATTCGTCTGTATAAGGTTAAAGAATGAAGTAATTGGCTGTTGGAAACTAGCATAACACCAAAGATAACATGCAGATTGGGACATGCTAAAGGGGGCACTTGGATTTGAACCGAGGACCTCTTGATCTGCAGTCAAATGCTCTACCACTGAGCTATACCCCCTTTCAAAAGCTTTTTTTCAAATTAGAAAAAAAGATCTGGAATTTCTTAAATTTGTCTGTATAAGGTTAAAGAATGAAATAATTGGCTTGTACGGAAACTAGCATAACAACAAAGATAACATGCAGATTGGGACATGCTAAAGGGGGCACTCGGATTTGAACCGAGGACCTTTTGATCTGCAGTCAAATGCTCTACCACTGAGCTATACCCCCCTTCAAAAAATCTTTTCAAATAAGAAAAACAAATTCTGGAATTTTCTTAAATTCGTCTGTATAAGGTTAAAGAATAAGTAATTGGCTTGTACGAAACTAGCATAACACCAAAGATAACATGCAGATTGGGGCATGCTAAAGGGGGCACTCGGATTTGAACCAGGACCTCTTGATCTGCAGTCAAATGCTCTACCACTGAGCTATACCCCCTTCGAAAAGCTTTTTTCAAATAAGAAAAAATATCTGGAATTTTCTTAAATTCGTCTGTATAAGGTTAAAGAATGAAGTAATTGGCTAGTTGGAAACTAGCATAACAACAAAGATAACATGCAGATTGGGACATGCTAAAGGGGGCACTCGGATTTGAACCGAGGACCTCTTGATCTGCAGTCAAATGCTCTACCACTGAGCTATACCCCCTTCCGAAAAGCTTTTTTCAAATAAGAAAAAATATCTGGAATTTTCTTAAATTTCTGTCTGTAATTGGCTATTGAAAACTAGCATAACACCAAATTTAAAAAAAAAAACTTTTCAAATAAGAAAAAAAAAAATTCTGGAATTTTCTTAAATTCGTCTGTATAAGGTTAAAGAATGACGTAATTGGCTAGTTGGAAACTAGCATAACACCAAAGATAACGTGCAGATTGGGACATGCTAAAGGGTACTCAGACTTGAACCAAGTACCTCTTGATCTGCATTTAAATGCTCTACCACTGAGCTAACCCCATTTCGGAAACATGTTTGAAATAAGAAAAATAAATATATAACAATATTTCTCAAAAACACCAGAATATTGTAAACGAATGAAGTGATTGGCTAGTTGCAAACTAGCATAACAGTGCCAAAGATCGCACTCGGTCATGCTAAAGGGGGCACTCGGACTTGAACCGAGGACCACTTGATGAGCAGTCAAATGCTCTACCACTGAGCTATACCCCCTTTTGAATAATTTTTTTCAAATAAGAAAAAAAAATTCTGGAATTTTCTTAAATTCGTCTGTATAAGGTTAAAGAATGAAGTAATTGGCTAGTTGGAAACTAGCATAACACCAAAGATAACGTGCAGATTGGGACATGCTAAAGGGGGCACTCGGATTTGAACCGAGGACCTCTTGATCTGCAGTCAAATGCTCTACCACTGAGCTACACCCCCTTTCACAAAGCTTTTTTGCAAATTAGAAAAAAATATCTGGAATTTTCTTAAATTTGTCTGTATAAGGTTAAAGACTGAAATAATTGGCTTGTACGGAACTAGCATAACAACAAAGATAACATGCAGATTGGGACATGCTAAAGGGGGCACTCGGATTTGAACCAAGGACCTCTTGATCTGCAGTCAAATGCTCTACCACTGAGCTATACCCCCCTTCAAAAAATCTTTTCAAATAAGAAAAAAAAATTCTATAATTTTCTTAAATTCGTCTGTATAAGGTTAAAGACTGAAATAATTGGCTTGTACGGAACTACCATAACAACAAAGATAACATGCAGATTGGGGCATGCTAAAGGGGGCACTCGGATTTGAACCAAGGACCTCTTGATCTGCAGTCAAATGCTTTACCACTGAGCTATACCCCCTTCCAAAAAGCTCTTTTCAAATAAGAAAAAAATATCTGGAATTTTCTTAAATTTGTCTGTAATTGGCTAGTTGGAAACTAGCATAACACCAAATTTTTAAAAAAAAAAAACTTTTCAAATAAGAAAAAAAAATTCTGGAATTTTCTTAAATTCGTCTGTATAAGGTTAAAGAATGAAGTAATTGGCTAGTTGGAAACTAGCATAACACCAAAGATAACGTGCAGATTGGGACATGCTAAAGGGGGCACTCAGACTTGAACCAAGGACCTCTTGATCTGCATTCAAATGCTCTACCACTAAGCTAAACCCCGTTTCGGAGAACATGTTTGAAATTGAGAAAAGAAATATATAACAATATTTCTCAAAAACACAAGAATATTGTAAACGACTGAAGTGATTGGCTAGTTGGACACTAGCATAACAGTGCCAAAGATCGCACTCGGACTTGAACCGAGGACCTCGTGATCTGCAGTCAAATGCTCTACCACTGAGCTATACCCCCTTTCGAATAATTTTTTTTCAAGTAAGAAAAAAATATCTGGAATTTTCTTAAATTCGTCTGTATAAGGTTAAAGAATTAAGTAATTGGCTTGTACGAAACTAGCATAACACCAAAGATAACATGCAGATTTGGACATGCTAAAGGGGGCACACGGATTTGAACCGAGGACCTCTTGATCTGCAGTCAAATGCTCTACCACTGAGCTATACCCCCTTTCGAAAAGCTTTTTTCAAATAAGAAAAAATAGCTGGAATTTTCTTAAATTCGTCTGTATAAGGTTAAAGAATGAAATAATTGGCTAGTTGGAAACTAGCATAACACCAAAGATAACGTGCAGATTGGGACATGCTAAAGGGGGCACTCGGATTTGAACCGAGGACCTCTTGATCTTTAGTCAAATGCTCTACCACTGAGCTATACCCCCCTTCAAAAAATCTTTTCAAATAAGAAAAATAAATTCTGGAATTTTCTTAAATTCGTCTGTATAAGGTTAAAGACTGAAATAATTGGCTTGTACGGGACTAGCATAACAACAAAGATAACAGGCAGATTGGGACATGCTAAAGGGGGCACTTGGATTTGAACCGAGGACCTCTTGATCTGCAGTCAAATGCTCTACCACTGAGCTATACCCCCCTTCAAAAAATCTTTTCAAATAAGAAAAACAAATTCTAGAATTTTCTTAAATTCGTCTGTATAAGGTTAAAGAATTAAGTAATCGGCTTGTACGAAACTAGCATAACACCAAAGATAACATGCAGATTGGGACATGCTAAAGGGGGCACACGGATTTGAACCGAGGACCTCTTGATCTGCAGTCAAATGCTCTACCACTGAGCTATACCCCCTTTCGAAAAGCTTTTTTCAAATAAGAAAAACAAATTCTGGAATTT